CCTCTCAAGGGCAATATCGTCATTGTACAAATGGACACAATTCCAATAAAACCGAAATCTCCCGCTTAATTTTCGTCGCCTTTATATAGAGCTAAACCACCGCTTTCGATACTCGCATGTTTCGGCAATTGCAACGCGTGGAAGGACCGCTCTTCCGCCTTTGAAGTTCTCTCTCTCTCAATTTTTGCCATTTCTGGGAAGAAATGCATCGCCACAACGACCCAAACCCTTTCGATGAGGAAGAAGTCAATCCATTTTCGGTAAGTTTTATCCAGATGTAATGGATTTGCGTTGCATTTGCTTCTAAATCACCGTTAATTTGTCGTAGTTTTGGTGTTGCTGATTTGCCCTATTTTTATTTTTTACTGTTTTTTTTATTCCATATCATTTTATGCATGCCATTGTTAGTAAGTTCTATTTAAACGAAGACGATTATTCATCTTTTTGCTGAGAAATTCAGTTGTTTTTTCTCATCGTTTTTCATGTTAGTGGTTGCCCCTTATTTTTCTCATCCTTTTCGCTGGCATGGTTTGCTACCTGTTTGATACCTTGATCTGCCTATTTGTGGTGATTTTCTCAAAATGGAATCGAATTTTATGAGTTTCCCTTGAAAATCGCTCCCAGTTTTTCAACATTTTTGTGCTAATTGTTTGCCCTAGTCGTATTGGGAATCTGTAATAATGTCTTGTTTATGTAGCATATCTTCCCCTTGATCTGATAACCTATTTTTTGTTACGATTTCCTTTAATAGCATCATTTCAGTTAGGTTTTGCTTGAACTTGTCTGTTAATTCTCATCATTTTTCGTGGTACTCATTTGGCTTAAATTTATTCTCATCATTTTTCGTGGTAATACATATTAACAAGTTTTTCCCATGTCTCGTTTCTCGGCCCTTTTACTCCCTTGATCTACCCTAATTAAATTTATTCCTTGAAATTCCTCGACCAGTTGGAATTAGCCCATTTTTGTTTATTTAACCATGTATTTTGTTGATCTGCCACAGTCTTCCTCTAAATTATTAAATCATTCTAAGCAATGGATTTCACTACTAGGAGTGAAAAATATCTGATAATCTATCTATTATATATTCTACTGTGATCTGCTTGTTTCCTTGAAATTTTTTGTTAACTTCTAAACCATTCATAATTATTAACTTATAAACCATTTATGACATGGTTTTGTCCTAGTCGGGTGTAATTTTCATCAATTTTTCAACTATATTCAGAGCTGATTTGACCTTTTTTCTTGGAAATTCTATCAATTTCCTGACTGTCTGATGCTATAGATTCACATAATGTATTGAAGGCTCGAATTAGTTTATCCCCCATTTTATACTTGTTGCCGAGCTGTATTTGAAGATTTCTATTGATTAGTGAGCCATTTATGTTGGACAGATAGTTTTTACACTCAGCCTTTATTAAATGCACCCAGTCTGTACAATTTAAACCCCATCATATTCAAATGTTCTATCAGATGGAACATTCTGAATTGTTGTGCAGTTAATAAATAAGCTGGTGTAAAAGCTAGCAAGCAGTCTATGTTATCTAGTACTTATGCATTTTTCACTTATCTAATAAAGAACATCACCTTTCATAAATACAAAAGAGAAGAAGAGAAAAAGAAACCTCCCCCAGGTGCGTTAAAGCTACAACTGAAATCATCCATTAGAACCTCTCGTTTTTGTGTTTACAATTTGCCTTTGTTTAATTATGCCACGAAGCTCTTATGCTCCTGTTTTTTGTTAACTAGGTTTTCTCTTTCTAGTCTTCTCATACCGTTCTCTTTCATATTCCATTGTCTTTTTTCATATCATATTTTTGTCAATCAAGTCAATGTTTATCGACTTATGAATTTGTGTAGTTCCTTGAAATTTACATGCTATTTGTTCTAATAACTGGAAAAGTACTTTCTTTGGGGGTTTGACTTGTTGAAATGGATGTCTAATTCATGTTGGCCAACTTTTTCTGTTTCAATTTACCTTTTTTCTGGTTAAATTATTTTTGTACGGTGGCAAGTGTGTACCATTGATTTTTTGTTTGACGGTGTATCATGTGGCTCTGAGTTATTTGACTCTTCAATTCCACCTAGCTTTTTTGTTTTTTTATTTGCCAAACTTGAAAGGTTGTTAGGTTATTCAAAGCAGCATTATCAGAACCTGACTGATGGAAAACTAGATCTTGAGAAAAACTATATTTTTAATGCAAGTTATGATTTTTTGTTTTACATCTTTTATGGTTTCAATAAGTTTTCATCAATTCGGATCATTTGATGACCGTTGAACTGCTAATCGAGACAGAGTGAACACTTTTCAGGATGGGATCTAATGGTGGACACATGTATTACTTTGTGAGAATTCTCAAAATATAAAGATTGCACTAAATTAACATTTGACATCAATTTTTTATACTTAAGGACAAAGAAAACACACCTGTCAAACCCTGGCTGCCTTAGTCCCCCAAAAAATGATGTTTTAATTTAATTCTAAGCCCGCAAATCATCATTATTTACATATGGTTCAGTTTAACTCACACAATAAGCCAAAGTTCAATATTTTGGTACTGGAGGATGACATACTTAGAAATGTGAATGTTATGTGATGCTTTATTTAACAACTGTAGTATTCGTCACATATTGCGTTTGATCATTATTTAACAAAATGTTCAGATTGAATAGTGGATTTGATGTAGGGAGAAGATGAAGATAGGAAATAAACAAACTACAAGGATAAAATAAAAATAAAGGATGAGAGATTGTACCATTTAAGTTTACGGGGGAATCTACCCCAAAGGTTGAGAGATTTGACGCTTTAATTAGGTCTGCAAGGGAGTCCTTAAAACGATCTTTTTAGACCCAAAATAAATTATTCTTATCTGATGTTTTCTTTTGTCCAACACATATTTATAAGAGAAAAACATAAAACCTCACTTGTTTCTTTCAACACCCTAACCACTATTAAATTCTAGTCCGTCATATATTTAACATTTAACTTCCAATTGTACCCCTCAATTCTCTATAACTAAAAAAGGACACATATATCACAAAATAAAATGACACTCAGACCTAATTTTAGTATCCTAAAATATAGTAAAATAAAAAATTAAAAGCCCATTACATCATTCTCCCAGGGTTGGGAGGAGAGCTCGACCTCGAGCTTGTTGTGTTCATCGCATCTTTTAAGGACCATTTCAATAGTTGGTGATAAGTCCTACTATTTGCCTAGATACTATGTCTTCTTCAATGAACCTATTAATCCAACACTTAAAGTGCAACTTGTATTGGAACGTTGGGATGTCAAGTATAATCTAAGACTTCTCCTTCCAGCTCCTTGTGAAACATGGGGAGATCGACCTTGATACTGAGGTCACTTGGATGTTTCTTAGGTTATGGTGCTTGCATCAAAATTTGCTCAGTACGTATGGGATTAGCCCCTAGAGTCGGTCATGGAGCTCAATTTATCCCTAGGGTAAGATTTGGTGCCAGTTATATGAGAAGTTAACCTTTATTCAAAAAAAAAAAAAAAAACCTATCGTAATCATTTAAACTGTTGATTTAATTCACCAATTTCTCTTAGAAGTTCGACGATTTCTCCTTGAAATTCTTGGATCTTGACTCAAATATCTTCCATGGTTTTATTTATGTCATGATTCACAATCTCCATGATATCCTCGATCATAAGAGTCATTTTTGGTGGCATTGTGATGCATGGATTTTCTGAAGCTTTGATACCAATTGATGTGGGGAAGAGGGAGGAAAAAAATGAATAGACCAAAAAAATAAAAAATAAAATAACCGAATGAGAGAATATACCTTCTCTCTGGGTCTGTAGGGGTGTCCACCCTAGAGAAATGTTTTTCATAAGGCCCAAAATAATTTGTTCTTCTTTTATTTTTTGTCTAACACTGCATATTTATAGAAGAATAACTCTAGAAACCTAACTTGCTTCTTAAGAAACCCTAACCACCATTAAATCCTTGCCCTTCATCTATTTAACATTTAACTTTATACTATACTCCTCAATTCTTTGCAACTAAAAAAGACGCATGTACCATAAAATAAAAATAGAACCCAAATAACCCTAAACCTAATTTGAGTATCTAAAAAACTAGTAAAATAGAATTAAAAACCCGCTACATCAGGATTTAATTTTTGGGCATTGGATGGAATTCATAAAAAAAAGGTACACCGGATGGAATATGGTAATTTTTTTGGATAATGATAAGAGTTGGATTTAACTAGTATGGATTCAATTATTTACTAAAGAAGTAAAATACTATCCAAATACAGCATTTATAGTCCAAATACATCATTTATACTGTTTTGGTAATTGTTGTTTTATGCAACAAGGAGATCCCTTTGGACTTAATTGTTTCTAACTCTTGATTGGTATGGTTTGTGCTAACTCTTCAGTTGTATGATTCATGAGTAAGTTTCAACTGTGTTCATTAGAAGAAAAAAAATGTTATTAATCCTATTGATAGTAATTTCATTAATTTCTCATGAACCATAGTAAAATGAAAGAAACTACATCATATTGAGGACATGCTCTTGAACGTTATAAGACGTAAATGTTGTTACAATGGATTTTAACGATCATAAAAACTGGAGGTCTGTTGATTGTAGCATATAAATATACATTCCTTCAATAGTTGTTATCAAGGTTGGATATTCCAATATATTCACATGGTAACTTTGGTTTATAATATATATAAATATATATATATATATATATATATATATATATATATATAGTAGTATTATATAATAACAACAACTAGTTC